ACACTGATAATAAATCAGCATATTAGAATGATTTCTGAAAGATCAAGTGTAACTGAAGACAGGAGTAATGATGCTGAAAATTCAGCTTTGATCACAGAAATAAATTATATTTTAAAGTATATTAAAACAGAAAACCAATATTACAAATTGTAATAATATCTCACAATATTATTTTTTTCTGTATTTTAATCCTGTTTCTCAGAGTCTGAGGGTACTTAAGGTGCTTTTTTTGTAAATTCCAAGTGTGTTTTCATTTGTCTTACCTGAAGAGAGGATTGAGTTTGGCCTCACCGACATAAAGCCCAGATCGGTGGAGTGTTGCAGTGATATTTGTCCTTCTCTAGATTTCTCCCATCTGCATATATGATCATGGAGCTCAACTAGAGTGACCATCATGGTCTTGGTCACCACTCTAACCAAGACCCTTTTCCATCAATCGCTCAGTTTGGCCAGGAGGCCAGCTCTAGAAAGAGTCCTGGATGTTTCAACCTTCTTCCATTAAGGGTAATGCCGGTTCAGACTACACGATTTTAGCCCATGAAAATTCAGCTTTGATCACAGAAATAAATTATATTTTAAAGTATATTAAAACAGAAAACCAATATTACAAATTGTAATAATATCTCACAATATTATTTTTTTCTGTATTTTTGATCAAATAAATACAGCCTTGATGAGCACAAGAGACTCCACTAAAAAACATTAAAACATCTTACTAATCCCAAAGTTTTGAACAGCAGTATGTGTGTGTGGGTGTATATAATATATACAGTGCTTGCGAAAGTATTTATTATTAATTTTTTTCACATTTTGTTATGTCGCTGCCTTATGTTAAACTGCTTTAAATTACTTTTTTTCCACATCAATCTACACCCCATACACCATACTGACAAAGCAAAAACAGAATTGTCACAACTTCGTAAATTTATTAAAAATAAAATAACTGAAATAAGTACATATCATAAGTAACTAAATATTTCGCTGAAGCACCTTTACGGTCTCTCAAGTCTTTTTTGTTTAATGCGACAAGCTTTGATCATCATCATTTGGAAATTATCTGCCATTCCTCTCCTCATCTCTTCACCTCTCAAGCTCTGTCAGGTTGGAAGGGAGCAAATGCACATTTTCAAGTTTCTCCAGAATTATTTGATTGGGTTCAAGCTCAGGCTGTGGCTGGGCCACTAAAGGACATTCACGGAGTTGTCTATAAGCCACTCTTGCTGTGTGCTTAGGGTCATTGTCCT